CGCTCCTCTTTCTTCTGATCTACCACCCGGGAATCGAATTTTCAGCACTATCGCACATCTGTTTATTTGGTTTGTTGATTCATCCAAGCTAAGAAGCATTAGACAGTATCTACACTTTCAGGCACATGTAGGCAAATTTATGTTGTTTTAACCGATATTTAATTAAGTTACTTGTCGCAAGTAGGAGCAGTTATTTAAGATATTTAATATTTGCCTTCAAAAACTATATATAGCTTGTCAATTTAGAGTGCAACTAGTGTCAACGCAAAAAACAAAAAGCCGAAAGTCAGGTCACTTCGTCCGAAAAAGAGCCGCGTGAAATTCCTACTAGCTTACTCATTTCCTTAGTTTCGAATGTCACTGGTTCAGCTGCGGCACATCTCAGGTTGCCCGAATTGCAAGCATATCCATGGAAGCGGTACTTTGTTGAGGGCAGGAGGGATGAGGGGCTCCAATTTGGCGAGCTGTGGACTTTCCTTATTTGAGTACCATATTCAAGTGTGTTTACTTCGTTGAGTGGTTCCAGGACAGCTGCGTAAGCATAGGCACCCTCGGTATCGCCTTCTGCAAGCCCAACCTTCAACTTCGCTGAACGTACATCTGTTAACAGTACTGTCAGGTTTTGTGGTGCTGCAAGGTAATAAAGTACAGCGTAAGTACACATCTTACGGAGAAAGTGTAGCTTCATAGGCTTTCATTTAATTGCAAAATTAGGTTTTTAAAACCAGCTGTCAGGTGAATTGCAAATCTCATTGTAAACCCTTGGATTTTTGGTATAAAAAATCGCTTCCTACATATCGTAATACCAATATAATGAGCCAAAAGCATTGTTTATTCTCCTTAGAGGAAAAATTATCTATAATAACCGGAACTGCGGAATAAGTAGGAAATTTAGATTTTTCTTTAAAAACAACAGGTTTTATTGCAGTGATCGGCAAAAGTAGTTTAAGTAATGCATCGCATATACCTCCTAGCCCCAGCATTTTTCCTACGGAAACGGTGGTTATAGGGGGTTATTGGAAGGAAAGTTGGATAGACAGTGAAATATGTTTGTAGAAGTGTAATTGGATAAAAATAAGTTAAAGTTGTTTCCCGCGGCCGCCGGGACCAAGTTGTTCTGCATCTAAGTTGAAGGTGTCCGCAGCGCGATACTAATCTAAATCCAGAATGGTAAGTTGGACCTCAAGTAAATTGAGGAGGACGACTTCCTAACAACCATTTGTACTTTTTAGGAATTTTAAGAAGCGTGCATTTTGATAATGCATTTTTTTGCAATACGTTACACGATAATACAGATTAGAAAAATTTACCGATATAAGTCGACACCATTTCTGAATACAACAAAATAAAATTCAGATAACAGTTATTAAAGTTTTTTTCACTGTCTATCCCAATTGCCAACCCACTGAACCTCTATAGGCACTGTTTCTGTAGAACGAAAGGCTGAAACTAGAGGTATCTAAGGTACACTTCTTAAACTACTGTTGCCCAGTAATTAAACGTTAATTATAACACAGCATCAAGTCCGGCATATGCACCCACAATAGTGACCTTTTGGAACGTTTACTGCCAATATTTATGCGGTGCTCCTTAATGTAATTGCATCAAACGTTTGAGACATAGATACAGTTATTTAATAAGGTATTAAATGTAAATAAATATCTGCTCGGCAAACAATATTGACATAGAGGTCAAGAAAGTCCAGAACCTTCTTCGAGAGAACGGATATCCTGACAGATTTAGCACAAAGAATATGGTGGCGAGAGAAGTAAAGTTCGCCGCGCCCACTGTAGAAAAGAAGACGCTATGCTTCCAAGTCTCGCTTGAAGTGGATACGGAAAAGGAGCTCCTAAAAGACCCCCTCAACAAGCCGTGTAGGAAACCTTCCTGGCAGCGAGAGTTCTGATATTATTCTCAACCAACGCGGTCGTGCATGGGGATGGTAAGGATGGGTTGTCAGCTCAGATCACCTGAGTGTGCATCTATGTATTAACTGGCTCCTGTGGAGCAGGTTATATCGG